GTAAACCCGCCCCATGGGTACCCGCCCACACACATATAATTACTTTTCCGGTATATTTAATATTCTAAATAATATATCTTTCTTAAACAACTAATATTCTATATGTTTGTGGAGACATGTATAATTTGTTCTTTCTAATTGTTTAGAATGAAGTTGATATTATGAAGTGGAGAGTGAAGAAACTTAGTTGACGAGGAAGAAGTTTTCAATTAATCTTATTGTTTATATATGTTTATCTTTAATTTTGAATAATTTATATTGATCATTTGCGATTTGCTTGTATGCTCTAGATTGGTGTTTTTTGTATGTTTAATTTGTATGAGAAAATTGACGTTAAACTTTTATTTTGAAAGAAACTTGTTATTGTAAATTTTTACCACAAAAACCCACGGGTACCCATGAACCCGCGGATACCCAGCGGGTTGGGTTGGGTTTGAGTTTTTCAAACCCAACGGGTTTTACCCTGGGTTTTTTTGACCGATAAACCCATGGGTTTGGGTTTGGGTTTGACAAAACCCGACCCATTGCCATCCCTACTTGTGGGAGAAAGGGAAGGAAAGAGGGAGATAGTGAAGGAAGAATGAGACAAATAAGAAGTTTAGGAAGAAATTAAAAAAGTGAGTAAAGGAAAAAACAAATACAGTAGTTAAAGGAAAAAAATAATGAAGGATTCTGATGGTATAATACAAATTTTCGGGTATTTCGGGTACCGCAATGATGAACAATTTATCGAGTGTATTAATGAAAGGACAGGTGTTTAATATTTTAAAATTTTATCGGTTAAGAACTGGGTCTATCAGATTGTATCCATGATATTGGACACTACCATCCATTATTGGATTTGGATGGTATCCATGATGTTGGACACTACCATCCATAATAGGATTTGGATGGTATCCATAATGTTGGACACTACCATCCATGTACACATGGACTAACTATTTAAAGTGTCCAAGCTATTCATACATGTGATAATTAATAAAAATTATTTTGGTGTAAACACTAACATTTCAACTTCTTGTTCAATTATTCTATAACTATAATAGTTAATCATTAATAACAAGCTCTCTATACTAATTCTTGTCATAAGGGATGGTCGAATTATTAGGGTTAAAACCAAACTAAAAGGATCTAGATTTTGACAATATATTGCAGTACATTATCATGTCAATATCTCTTCAAAGAAAAAATATGGTCTCTTAATTATTATTATAGACAGCTGTCCAGAATGTGTACTTAACGTGGATGTAATACCTAGTCTCAAAACTAGGTTTAATTCGAAGCCAACGGGGCTTCGCCTCCAGCAGCGTTACCAACGAGTCTCGCTTAGATTCGATCCTGAGATCTGCAACTTTCAAACCTTCACTATCGCGAAAGCTTATCATTAGCCTATCTTTTGATAGATTTTGGTTTAGCTCTACACTATCGATATTGTGAATTTGAAGCATCAGATGTGCGAAGAAGGCTTGAACAATTGGTTGGGTATTACGAACAAAGCGGAGGCCTTAACAATTTCTTGGACGATTGGCGAGCCGGTGGCTTCAGGGCCATGTATACTACAACCAAGGGCCATATGGGCTTTTTCAATTAGGCTTCTCGGCTATTCAAAATGGACCAAACACACCGTGAAGCCCATTACCAAGACTACTTCCAGCATCTTCTACCCGGTTGATGCAACAACTTCTGAAACCTTGCCAGAGAAACTTTCATTTGTGAACTACAAAGCATGAATTGAAGGTATCCTCCTCATTTTCACCCCTTCGGATGGAAAATAAAAAGAACAATAAGGTTCAAGCGAATCTCCACTCTCTGTTTCACGGCAGGATTGATAGGGTTATCCCTCTTAATATGAAGAAGCGCTTTCCGGAGTTCGGCGCTAATGGCGAAGAACTACATGAAACAGAGTTGGGTTGAGCCCATGTTCAATTTCGTCGGAGGTGCTTGGGGTACCCAAGTTTTGTTGGACAAAATGCGGAAGGTGAATATTGAATGGAGTGTTACAAATAGCAATTCGACCTTTAGTTCACAAAACTAGATCTTAGGGGTCGTTTGGAGAATATGAGTTTAAATCTATAGATTGTCAACAATCTAAAGATTTTAACTCTTCGGATTGTTGAAAATAGATTTTAAAATGTTTATTGTTTGGTAACTGTGATTGTTAACATTCAATGAAAACAAAAAAAATATTTTTATATTAAATAACGTGTTTATCCTTAATAAAAAATTAGAGTGGTTCGAGAAATATTAAAAAATTTGTTGATAAATATATTTAATGTGATAAATAAATAAAACAAAGAGAAAAAGTAGGAGAAAAAAATTCTCACGAATCAAGATATAGAATCTCTCCGATTATGAGAGATTTGATATCCGTAGATTTTAGAGATTTGAAATCTCTAAAGCTCAAATCCACAATACGAAAAATAACAAAAAAACATAACTTTCTACAAAATCTACGGATTCAATGAATCCACGCCCTAAATCCCATTCTCCAAACGACCCCTTAGTGTTACGATCCTGATGGATAACAAAAAAATGAATTTATTAATTAATTTTTTTATTAATTACATATTGGGAATTAAAAATTCATATTAAATACATTTTTTTTTTAAAAACCCCTACAATTAAGACACATATATCTCTCTACTTTTTCCAGCAGCCTCTTCACTCCGACCGCCAAAAATTCTCTGACCGACATATTTTTTTCGGTGAAATCCTGCAATAAGACTTACTTCGGGCACCTACAAAAAAGTGTCACTTCGTGAGTGCGCGCTAGTGGTAGGGATTTTTGTCTAGTGATACGCTATCAGTGGTAGTGGCACACTACCAGTAGTAGTGGTAGCAAACCAGTACCACTGGTCACTGGTAGCGTACCACTACCACTGGTAGTGCTCACTAGTAGCGTACCACTACCACTGGTAGCGCTCCCAATGACTAGTGGTAGCATACAAGTACCACTAGAGACTAACACAAAATACCAGATCTGGAATCTGAAAAATCGCATATTTGGAAAAAAATTAAGAGATGAGGAAACGAAGAGGCAGGGGAGAGGTGGTGACCTCGTGGCGGCGTCATGAAGACGAGAGATGGTGGGAGGCGGAGGAAGGGGGAGGCGGAGGCGGTGGTGGTGGTGTAAAGACGATGACGGCCGGGCGCGGCAGGGGCGATGAGGGCAGCGTGGGCGACAGGTGCAGCGTGAGGAGGATAGCGGGAGGAAGGCGGTGGGGACAGCGACAGGGGGAACAACGACAGCGTGAGTAGGAAGGCAGGAGGAAGGCGGCGGCGACAACGGTGATGGAGATCGGCGTAGTGATTGAAGTCGACGGATGGAGATCGGTGATGGAGCTCTTTGACGGATAGAGTTTTTGGTTAGAGATAGATGATGGCTACAAAATGGGTTGTAAATCTCACAACTCTTTTAAAAGGTTGTGACCGTATCTCATCCTGTTTCAAATTGATGCTTTGAAAAAAGAAGGTACCATAATTTATATAATCAGTAGTTGCATGATTGAGTTGAGCATAATGAATGGTAAAACTTTATGGAGGACAAAAACGAACACAACAACTAATTAATGGGTATAGTTGTAATTCTAATTATTATTAGTAATTAAGAAAATTAAATATAATTAAAATTTGATTTATGAGTATGACTGCAGAGGTATAACTTAAGCAGTCGTACGCCAACATTTGTCATATATCATTCAGTACATCACCATTCATATGATTTTAAATGTAAATTTTCTTATAAGAGTTAAAAATAAGTAAGATATGAGCAAATTAGGAAAGTTGAACATGTTCATTCATCTCACACTTTGGATTGGTATTGGAAAACAAGATGGTATGAGCTAATTGGCCCATATATACGGTCTACCGTATATACAAGTGACTAAGGCACAAACCAGGGGCTGGATTATAGACCAGGGTCCGGGCCATATATTATGTATCCTAGACCAGATCACACATGTGCACTCTATTCCAATATGATAAGTACTACTCAAACCATGTAGAGCAAAAAATTGAACAGTATGTTTGGTCCATCACACTAAAAAACGAACCAATACCCAAGAAAAAAACCTTCAACCAAAATTCTAATACCCATGCATAATTTTGATAAACTAAATCCAAGTAAAGAACAAAGATGGAAGTCAAAGCGATCCAACTTCCAAAATAAATTATTAAACCTCAACATAATATCTCATCAAAATGCAATCGCCTCTTCTCTCTGACAGATTGTGGTTTGTGAAGAAAGGAGGGGACGAGATCTAAAAAATGATGGTTGAGACATGCATCTCGTTAAGGGGAGTAGAGGTAGAGGACGAGTTGTCTGCTAACATGAATTGGGAAGTGGACTAGCTCCACGGTCTGGTCCGATAAACAGTTATTTGTACCATAGCGGGATAAAATATCAAAAGTGGTTTAAGTAACTTGACGTCACTATCTTTTTCTTGTTTGTCTGTAATCTCAACCATCCTATCGGTTAACTGCTCAGCTATATCTTTTGGGATCCTATTATTAGCGTATATTTTATTAAACTCTTTGCGTGTTCTTCTGGCAGTCCTTCAGGGTAATTAACCTTAAAATCCTCAGGAAAAATCACATCCTCGCTCCCTAGGCTCGGTTCATCTGTAGAGGATTCATCGCCCCATGTTTTATCTGACAATATTTGATGATGGAAGAATTGCTTGGTAGGGCAATTTCTCACCACTTCGCCTCACATCCAGAAGGTGAAATCGTGGGCAAATCGGCTGTGGAGACGTGAGGGGAAGGTTAGGGTTTCCTGGATTGGAAAGCGTCTTCTGATGTTTCAGTTCCCGACGGATGCTGCTGCGCATTAAGTCTTCACGAGAGGTCTGTGACATCTCCACGATGACACGTGCTACATCCGTAAATGGGAGCCGGGTCTTAGGGTGGAGTCGCCGCGATCTGAGATCCCGATCTGGGTAAGATTCCTTGACGTACTAGTTGAGTATGCAAATGGGAGAATCCTTACTAGACTTACTAGTATGCTGGGGAAGCCATTGTGGTTCGACCAATCCACTAGATTAGGTCGTAGACTGGGATACCCAAAAGTGTGTGTTGAAATGAATGTGGATTATGCCTTTCTCGCCTCCCTAAAACTGGTGCCAGATAAGAGATTTCCCTTGACTGTGAATCTAGAATACTGTCATAGGCCTGTTATATGTGAGAAGTGTAATGATTTTGGGCACGAATGCAAGGTTGCGTTGGTTCAAGAGGTGAATCAAGAGGAGGAAGTTGAGACACAACCTACTAAGGCTAGCATAGTGCAGAAGGCAAATGAGGGTACTACTGTGATCGCCCCTGTCACTGCAACAACTATTGTTTCTCCGGAGGAAATAGGTCTTCAACAGGTAGTTGAAAACCTCGTCACATCAATTACGGAGGGCAATTCGTCGGGTTGGGGCCAACTGTCGTCTGACAAGAAATTCGAGCTGTTGAAAAAGTGGTGAGTCCAAAAAAGGTAGCAAATTCCTTTTATATCCTCAGTTCACTGGGACAATTTGAGATTGGTTCTGTTGTGGTTTCACCGTTGAAGGATACCTCTGAATTCCCTGCATTGTGTAGAACTCTAGATGGTCAAAGAAAGGGAAGAACAAGCCAAGGCACCCTCCAAAGGCTAAAGGGCAAGTGAAGTCTTGATCGTCCTAACTTGGAACATTTGAGGCTTTAACAACTCGCTAAAGCAGGAGTACATAGTTGATATGGCAAATAAAGTATAAAGCATATATAATAGCTATATTAGAAACCATAATTAGTAGGGAAAATGTGGGGGAAATCATTAAAGAGAATTTTTCACTTTGGCATTTTGTCGATACCTACTCGGCAGTTCAGGTGGGGCGGATATGGGTGCTATATGGAGGAAATCAGTGCAATTTACTATCTTAGAAAAATCGGGTTATTTTGTGCATGGTATAGTTCAAGGGAAGGAACTGTTGCAACTATCTTTTGTATACAACTCTAATTATTCTGTTCAGAGAAGGTCAGTTTATCAAGAGCTTCAAACCAAGGTACTTCTTATTATTCCTTGTCTAGCCGTGGGTGATTTTAATGTTGTGGTTGGTCCAAGTGAGACATCAAACAAAATAGTGTCAGATGATAGTGTTCGTGCTTTTAGTCAATGGATACAGGATATGCAACTTACAGATCATCGTGTGATTGGTCCTTGGTTTACCTGGTTGAACAAACAGCAAGGTAACTCTATTGCCAAGAGATTGGATAGGGGTCTTGTGAATAGAAGCTGGTTGGATGTCTTCCCAAGCAGCTCATTAAGAATCCTTCCCCCTGGCCTCTCTAACCATTGTGGTCTTCTTCTCCATACTGATTGAAGAACATACCTCTTCCATTCAAATACTTTAGTTTCTGGAAGTTGCATCCCCTCTATGATAGTCTTTTTAGAGAAGGTTGGCAGGAGTCTGGAGGTGACATAGTTATGGCAAGGTTGTATAGGAAGCTTAGAAAAGTCAAGGAAAAGTTAAAAAAAATTAAACAGAGAGTACTACTCAGAGATTCACGAGAGAGTCAGAATTGCTCAAGCAGAGCTAGCTGTGGCTCAAATTGAAGCCTTGGAGTGCCCTGCCTCTTTAGCTTTTTTAAGCTGAAAGAAGGTGTATGGTCCAGCTTCAAGAGTTGCAAAAAGCATAAGAAATATTTGTTCGAAAAAAACTCCAGACAATTATATGTGAATTGTGGTGATTCCAATACCAAATTCTTTCATAGTATGATTAAGACCAGACATGTGAGGAATACTATCTCTTAACTGTTGACTGAGGAGGGACAAGTGTTGGAGGATATTGATGAAATAAGGAAGGAAGCTTAGGGATTCTACAAAGGATTATTTGGGAATATGGATAATTCAGTGAAGGAAGAACCTGTCGAAGTGTTGCAAAAGCTGTTACTCCATCGTTTGCCAGATGATGTAGATGGTTTCTGTAATCACGTGTCTAGAGATGAGGTTAGAAGATTTGTTTTTAGCATGGAAAAAGATAAGGTGTCATGCCCTGATGGATTTACGGCTGAATTGTTCCAGGAGAATCGGTCACTGGTGGGAGAGGATGTCTATTTGGCTATATCTGAGTTTTTCCAAACATGCAACATGAGGCTCGAAGTAAATTGTACTATCATCTCTCTTATTCCTAAAGTTCAGAATGCAAACACCATGAAGAACTTTAGGGCGATTTCTTGTTGCAGCATTCTATACAAGTGCATCTAAAAAATACTAGCTAATAAAATAAAGGAAGTAATGTTGAATGTCATTAGCCCTAATCAATCAGCTTTTGTCAAGGATAGATTGATTACGAATAATATTATTTTGCCTCATAAAATGGTGAAATGGTATGGCAGGAATGTAGTGTCACCTAGGTGTGCTATAAAAATGGATATAAGGAAGGCCTATGACAGTGTGAACTGGAGATTCTTGTTGAATGTAATGAAAGCTATGGCGTTCCCTGATTAGTTTGTAAATTGGGTTGACAATTATTTGAGTAATTCCAGTTTCTCAATTTGCTTGAAGGGAGGTTTAACAGGCCACTTTAGAGCCAAGAAGGGCTTGAGGCACGGGTGTCCCCTGTCCCCCCTACCTTTTAGTGATAAGTATGCAAGTCCTCAGCTGTATGTTGAATCGTGTTGCAGCAAGATCTGTCCACCCATATCATCCTCAATGTGGTCGTATAAGGTTAACGCACCTCTGCTTCGCAGATGCCCTGCTCATATTCACTAAGGGTAATGCACACAGTGTAAGAGTTGTGGTGAAAATTCTAAGTCATTTTCACAGAGTCTCTGGCTTGAAATGCTATCCATGTAAAAGTGAATTGTTTAGTGCGGGATTTTCGGATGAATTAGCTAAGACATTGGCAGAGCAGTCAGGTTTTAAGAAAGGAAGCCTACATGTTCGTTATTTGGGTTTACCTCTCGTGGCAGGCAAGATCAGTTCAGCTGACTACAAGAGTCTAATAAACAGAATCACCCAGAGGATTCAAGGTTGGCAACCTCACACACTCTCCTATGCTGGGAAATTTCAACTAGTCACAACAATTTTGGCAAGCATGGCTCATTTTTGGATGAGTATTATTCAGCTCCCGAAGAAGGTTATTAGAGAGGTAGAGAAGTTGTGTTCTAAGTTCTTATGGGGCAACCTTGAGCAGGAGAAAAAAGCGAAAGTTGCGTGGAAACATGTTGCCTTCTCCAAGAAAGAGGGAGTATTGGGGTTTAAAGACTTGTTTTCGTGGAATAAAGTCTGTTTAATCATGCATTTGTGGGCAATACAGTCAGATCAAAGAACCTTGTGGACTGGCTGGGTTAAAGAGTACCGTCTCAGAAATATCAGCATCTGGGAAGTTAGTACCAAAGGAGCGTGGGTCTGGAACAAGATCCTAAAGCTACGAACTAAAGTAAGGCAACACTTCAGGATGACGAGGCAAGGTGTTGAATGGCAGGGGTGTTGATGGAAAGGTATAATATGCAAAAGGGTCTGGGAGAATCTACGACCTATGAAGCAAGAAGTTACATGGGGAAGCTTGTCTGGCATTCTGGACTGATCTCTAGGAATTATGTCATTGTCTGGCTCACTTTGCTTAAGTGAATTGCCACACTGTCAAAGGTGAAGAAGTGGAATCCAACAGTTTGTGGCATGTGCCCCTTATGTTTGACAGAAGAGGAGACAAGAGACCATATTTTTTTCTCTTGTACCTATGTGCAGCAGGTCTGGAACATAGTTTGGGAATCTTAGCAAATTCGCTCTATGCGGAATGGTCTGATAGTGTGGCAGAGGCGATGAGAACACTGCAGAATTGCTATGTAGGAAGAATTTATGGTGCTTGTTTGTGAGCGAGGTGTGGCGTGAGCGCTGTCGAAGGCTATTTGTGGATAAGAGATTGGATTTTAAAGAGTTGGTTGACAGAATGCAACTTGTTTTGCGGGCATAAATTGATGGTGATGTGAAGTTTGCTGCTGCAATTCACACCCGCAAGTCATGGTTTTGCTGAGGACTACTTCTGTTTGGTTAATGTGTGTATCTTGTTTTAGCATTGTTTAGGCTTTCCTCGTCGTTTATTGCTTGGATGGGTTGTACAAAAGACAGATTTACCTGATTGTATTTTTTATGGAATAAAATCTCACCCATTCATAAAAAAAATATCAAAATGTCTCATAAATCATAATGCACATCATGAACTAAATCAAATCATTCTTAACGATCTATAACCCAAACCAAAGTGTGTGGTACACATCAAACTTTGCGATTTGGTTTGCTTGGCTATTTTTTTCAACCAGCCCGATATATTTTCTCAACCCTTATCATGAATTGATATTAATTATGATCTGTACCAAAATGCACAATACAGCTACAATGGTCCTTATTGATGAACTCATTCATTTTCCATTAGGTCATACAAGAATATTCCTTATAGATTTCAAGATCGGTGGAGAAAGAAGAATCTATATAAATATATAGTATATTATAGATAAGAGAGTATATATTTTGATGCAAGCATGAAAGTGAATGGGGTAAAAAGGGAAAATGATACGCTAAAAAAAGACTATGGAATCATCAACTGCACAAGAATCTCTTTTGTTGGCTTATGTATATATTTGCATGATTAAGAAGACCAAGAGCACGATGTTAAAAAGGATGGATATCCCATTTTGCGTATTGCTTCAATCGATTCTCCCCTCCTTTTGGGTCTCTTCTCAAGTCCACCTCCCAACCGTTTAATAATGTAAAACTATGGAATGGAATAATATTAAAGAGAGTGGCCAAAGCCATAACATATCACATCATTCTTCCCCGTTCCCTCCAAATTAATGCATATTTAAAGAACCCTAAAAATATGCATCCATTTCTCTATCAAACTTATCCCAATTATTCAATTTGTCGAGAGAAGTTCGTATATGGATGTTAACAATTTCTTACATGCTCACTTAAAATGTAACTAAAACCCTTGAAATTTTCAAGGGTCTGTAATTCCATGTGTTTAAATCAACGATCAATATTATAAATCATGAGAATTTAAACATGTGTACTAAAAAAAATTATCTCTAACATATAGTTGAGAACCAACTTGTATCAATAACTCAAATTATTAAAAGTAGCTTATAAGAATCTTAACCACTTTCTTCCTTATCGAACCCCATTTGATAATTTCACCATCTAAAGTCACTAAATGCCGATATCCTTCAAAATGATTGGACCTTCCCTTTCAAACAATGATAGAAAAAAGGAGGAAGAACAAAATTGAAGCCAGATTTAGCACTAGTAAGAAAGGATTTAACTAAAGTTAGGATATTCCCACCCTTTTTTTTTTTGTCTCTCTACATCCAAAAGCAAACACCATATCTTCCTCTATTTTTTCCCCCTTCTTTTCTTTCGGGCTACATGCTTCATGATTCTCTCTAACTAATTTTACCTCCTAAAGTTGCAATTAGATCTCCCTAGGGTCAACAAAAATGGAGGTGT